GTTCCATAGAGTACATATCCCATAGTTTCTTTATCCAGTCATCCGTTGATGGACATTTAGGTTGATTCCGTGTCTTAGCTATTGTGAATTGAGCTGCAACAAATATTGAGGTGCGAATGGCTTTTTTCACCCCTTTAATTCCATTTGGGTATATTCCAAGGAGTGGGTTGGCTGGGTCCTGTGGTAATGCTATATTCAGGTTTCTGAGGATTCCCCAGACTGTCTTCCATAGTGGCTTTACCAACAGTGGATTAGTGTCCCTTTTTCTCCACATCCTCGCCAGCATCTGTTGTTGGTTGATTTCTGTATGTAAGCCAATCTAATCGGAGTGAGGTGGTATCTCATTGTGGTTTTGATCTGCATTTCCCTGATGGCTAGGGATCCTGAGCATTTTTTCATGTGTCTGCTGGCCATTTGGATTTCCTCTTTTGAAAAATGTCTGTTAAGGTCCTTGGCCCATTTTTTTAATGGGTTGTTTGTTTTGACTCTGTGGTGTTTTCTGATCATTGTGTAGATTCTAGTTGTTAATCCTTTATCTGTTGTGTGGTTTGCGAATAACATCTCCCATTCTGTTGGTTGCCTCTTTGCTTTCCTGACTGTTTCCTTTGCTGTTAAGAAACTCTTCAATTTGAGGTAATCCCATTTGTTTATTTTATCTTTGATTACCTGTGCCTGTGGGGTCTTCTCCAGGAATTCTTTGCCTATTCCGATATCTTGAAGGGTTTCCCCTATGCTCTCATTTAGTTTCATGATGTCGTGGCGCATCTCTAGTTCTCTGATCCATGTTGAGTGGATTTTTGTATAAGGTGTAAGGTAGGGGTCTTGCTTCATACTGCGACATGTGGACATCCAGTTTTCCCAGCACCATTTGTTAAAGAGGCTGTCCTTGTTCCAGGGGTTGGCTTTAGGTCCTTTGTTGAATATGAGTTGGTTATAGATGTTTGGATTGATCTCCGGTGTTTCTATTCTGTTCCATTGGTCTATCCATTTGTTTTTGCACCAGTACCAGGCTGTTTTGATTATACCTGCCCTGTAGTATGCCTTGAAGTCTGGAATTGTGATGCCTCCAGCCTTGTTTTTATTGTAAAGGATTGCTTTAGCTATTCTGGGTCTCCTGTGTCTCCATAGGAATTTCAGCATCGTTTTTTCTAGGTCTTTGAAGAATGACTTTGGTGTTTTGATTGGTATTGCATTGAATCTATAAATTGGTTTTGGGAGAATGGACATTTTCATGATATTGATTCTTCCAATCCATGAGCATGGCAGGTTTTTCCATTTTTTTGTGTCGTCTTCTAATTCTTTCTTTAGTGTTTTGTAATTTTCATCATAGAGGTCTTTGACCTCCTTGGTTAAATTTATTCCAAGGTACTTTATTGTTTTTGTGGCTATCATGAATGGGATTGATCTTAGTAGTTCTTCCTCAGCACTGGCATTGTCTGTGTATACAAAGGCTGTTGATTTCTGAGCGTTGACTTTGTATCCTGCTACTTTACCAAACTCTTCTATGAGTTCCAGTAGTCTCTTATAGGAGTTTATCGGGTCCCCTATATATAGTATCATGTCATCTGCAAATAGGGATAGTTTAACTTCCTCCTTTCCCATTTGTATCCCTTTAATTTCTTTTTCTTGCCTGATGGCTCTGGCTAACACTTCTAGGACTATATTGAATAGCAATGGTGAGAGTGGGCATCCCTGTCTGGTGCCAGTTTTCAATGGAAATGCCTCCAACTTTTCCCCATTCAATATGATGCTGGCCTTTGGTTTATCATAGACTGCCTTAATTGTGTTGAGGAATGTTCCTTCTAACCCCAATTTGCTTGGGGTTTTCATCATGAAAGGGTGCTGTATTTTATCAAATGCTTTCTCTGCATCTATTGAAATAACCATATGATTTTTGTTTCTCAATTTATTAATGTGATGTATTACATTGATTTTTTTTCTTTTTTTTATTCTTTTTTTTTAACTTTATTTAATGCATATAATTTTCCAAAGTACGACTTATGGATTACAATGGCTTCCCCCCCATACCGTCCCTCCCACCCACAACCCTCCCCTTTCCCACTCCCTCTCCCCTTCCATTCACATCAAGATTCATTTTCGATTATCTTAATATACAGAAGATCAGCTTAGTATACATTAAGTATGGATTTCAACAATTTGCTCCCACACAGAAACATAAAGTGAAAAATAATAGATGATTTTTTTTAAATGATGATGAAATCAGAGCAGACCTATTGTCATGTTTAATCCCAGTGAGAGTCAAGTTGGGAATTGATAATTTCTTTTTTTTTTTTTTTTTACAGAGGATCAGTTTAGTATGCATTAAGTAAGGATTTCAACAGTTTGCACCCCCATAGAAACACAAAGTGAAATATATTGTTTGAGTACTCGTTATAGCATTAAATCTCAATGTACAGCACATTAAGGATAGAGATCCTACATGAGGAGTATGTGCACAGTGACTCCTGTTGTTGACTTTACCAATTGACACTCCTGTCTATGGCATCAGTAGTCTCCCTATGCTCCAGTCATGAGTTTCCAAGGCTATGGAAGCCCTCTGAGTTCTCCGACTCTTATCTTGTTTAGACAAGGTCATAGTCAAAGTGGAGGTTCTCTCCTCCCTTCGGAGAAAGGTACCTCCTTCTTTGATGACCTGTTCTTTCCACTGGGATCTCACTCGCAGAGATCTTTTGCCAGAGTGTCTTGGCTTTCCATGCCTGAAATACTCTCATGAGCTTTTCAGCCAGCTCCGAATGCCTTTAGGGCTGATTCTGAGGCCAGAGTGCTATTTAGGACATCTGCCATTCTATGAGTCTGCTGAGTATCTCACTTCCCATGTTGGATCACTCTCCCCTTTATTTACTCCATCAGTTAGCGTTAGCAGGTACTAGACTTGTCTATGCGCTCCCTTTGACTCCCAGTCCCTTCACCATGACCAACTGTGAACTGAAACTGATCACCTGGAACAGTGAGATGGCATTGGTACATGCCACCTCGATGGGATTGAATTGGAATCCCCTGGTATGCTTCCAACTCCACCACTTGGGGCAAGTCAGCCTGAGCATGTCCCAAATTATACATCTCTTCCCTCTCCCATTCCCACCACCATGTTCAACAGGGATCACATTTCAGTTAATTTTCAACACTTAAGAATAACTGTGCATCAATTACAGATCTAAACCAGTCATATTAAGTAGAACAGATAAAAAAACTACTAAGAGGGATAATGTATTAAGTTGTTCATTAACAGTCAGGGCTATGCTGACTTTCGAATATTGAACCATCCCTGCATACCAGGGATAAATCCCACTTGGTCTGGGTGAATGATCTCTCTGATGTGTAGTTGGATTCGGTTTGCCAGAATTTTGTTGAGTATTTTTGCATCTATGTTCATCAGGGAGATAGGTCTGTAGTTTTCTTTCTCTGTTGTGTCTTTTCCAGGCTTAGGAATTAAGGTGATATTGGCTTCGTAGAAAGAATTTGGAGGGATTCCCTCTCTTTCAATTGTTTTGAATAATTTGAGAAGAACTGGGGTTAGTTGTTCTCTAAATGTCTGGTAAAATTCGGCAGTGAAGCCATCCGGTCCTGGGCTCTTCTTTTTCGGTAGTGCGTTTATTACTGATTCAATTTCTTCCATGGTTATGGGTTTGTTCAGATTTTCCATATCTTCACAGCTCAGTTTAGGAAGGTTGTATTTGTCCAGGAATCTGTCCATTTCTTCCAGGTTCCCCAATTTGTTAGCATACGTCTCTTTGTAGTAGTTTCTGATGATTCTTTTTTATTTCTGTTGTGTCTGTTGTTACATTTCCATTACTATCATTGATTTCACAGATTTGGGTCTTTTCTCTCCTTTTTTTGGTTAGTTGGGCCAATGCTGTGTCGATTTTGTTTATTTTTTCAAAGAACCAGCTCCTGGTTTTGTTGATCTTTTGTATTGTTTTTTGTTTGTTTGTTTGTTTGTTTCAATTCTGTTTATTTCTTCCCTGATCTTTAGTATTTCTTTCCTCCTTTTGGATTTGGGCTTGATTTGCTGCTGTTTTTCTAAATCCTTGAGGTGCATGGAGAGTTCATTTGTTTGGTTCCTTTCCAGCTTCTTGATGTAGGCACTAATTGCTATAAACTTTCCTCTTAGCACTGCTTTTGCTGTGTCCCACAGGTTTGGATAGGTTGTGTTATCATCTTCATTTGTTTCTAGAAATCTTTTGATTTCTCTTTTAATTTCTTCGATGACCCACTGTTCATTTAGGATCATGTTGTCCATTCTCCATATATTTGCATATGGTGTAGAGATTCTTGGGTTGTCGATTTCAAGTTTCACTGCACTATGGTCTGAGAAGCTGCATGGTATAGTTTCAATTTTTTTTGAATTTGTTGAGGCTTCCTTTATGGCTTAGTATATGGTCAATCCTAGAGAATGTTCCATGTATTGGGGAGAAATACGTGAACTCTGTGTCTGTGGGGTGGAAGGTTCTGAAGATATCTATTAGGTCTATTTGGTCTATGGTGTCAATTAGCTCAGTTGTTTCCTTGTTGAATTTCTGTCTGGTTGATCTGTCCATTGGTGAAAGTGGGGTGTTGAAGTCCCCTGTTACTATTGTATTTGAGTCTATATCTCCCTTTAAATCCTTTAGTAATTCTTTCATGTAGCCAGGCACCCTGTAATTAGGTGCGTATACATTTATAATAGTAATGTCTTCCTGTTGGATAGATCATTTAATCATTATATAGTGCCCTTCTCTGTCTCTTTTAATAGTTTTCATGTAAAAGTCTATTTTGTCTGATATTAGGGTGGCCACACCAGCTCTTTTTTGATTTCCATTAGCTTGGAGTATCTTTTTCCATCCTTTCACTTTCTTTCTTTTTTTTTTTAAATTGTTTATTTTTTTAAACTTTTATTTAATGAATATTAATTTCCAAAGTACAGAATATGGATTACAGTGGCTCCCCCCCATAACGTCCCTCCCACCCTCAACCCTCCCGTTTCCCACTCCCTATCCCCTTTCATTCACATCAAGATTCATTTTCGATTCTCTTTATATACAGAAGATCAGTTTAGCATACATTAAGTAAAGATTTCAACAGTTTGCTCCCACACAGAAACATAAAGTGAAAAATACTGGTTGAGTACTAGTTATAGCATTAAATCTCAATGTACAGCACACTAAGGACAAAGATCCTACATGAGGAGTAAGTGCACAGTGACTCCTGTTGTTGACTTAACAAATTGACACTCTTGTTTATGGCCTCAGTAATCACCCTAGGCTCTTGTCATGAGCTGCCAAGGCTATGGAAGCCCCCTGAGTTCACTGACTCTGATCATATTTAGACAAGGCCATGGTCAAAGTGGAAGTTCTCTCCTCCCTTCAGAGAAAGGTACCTCCTTCTTTGATGACCCATTCTTTCCACTGGGATCTCACTCGCGAGATCTTTCATTTAGGTTTTTTGTTCCCCAGAGTGTCTTGGCTTTCCATGCCTGAAATACTCTTATGGGCTTTTCAGTGGGATCTGCATGCCTTAAGGGCTGATTCTGAGAACAGAGTGCTTTTGGCAAAGTAGCAGGGTATAAAATCAATGCACAAAAATCAACAGCCTTTATATACACAGGCAATGCCATGGCTGAGGAAGAACTTCTAAGATCAATCCCATTCACAATAGCTACAAAAACAATCAAATACCTTGGAATAAACTTAACCAAGGACGTTAAAGATCTCTATGATGAAAATTACAAAACCTTAAAGAAAGAAATAGAAGAGGATACCAAGAAATGGAAAAATCTTCCATGCTCATGGATTGGAAGAATCAATATCATCAAAATGTCCATTCTCCCAAAAGCAATTTATAGATTAATTGCAATACCAATCAAGATACTGAAGACCTTCTTCTCAGATCTGGAAAAAATGATGCTGAAATTTATATGGAGACACAGGAGACCTCGAATAGCTAAAGCAATCTTGTACAACAAAAACAAAGCTGGACTGATCTTCTGTATATAAAGAGAATCGAAAATGAATCTTGATGTGATTGGAAGGGGAGAGGGAGTGGGAAAGGGGAGGGTTGCAGGTGGGAGGGACGTTATGTGGGGGAAGCCATTGTAATCCATAAGCCGTACTTTGGAAATTTATATTCATTAAATAAAAGTAAAAAAAATAAAAAAAAAACAGAAAAATCACAAAAAGAAAAAAAAACAAAGCTGGAGGCATCACAATACCAGAGTTCAGGACATACTACAGGGCAGTTGTAATCAAAACAGCATGGTACTGGTACAGAAACAGATGGATAGACCAATGGAACAGAATTGAAACACCAGAAATCAATCCAAACCTCTACAGCCAACTCATATTTGATCAAGGATCCAAAACCAATCCCTGGAGTAAGGACAGTCTATTCAATAAATGGTGCTGGGAAAATTGGATTTCCACGTGCAGAATCATGAAGCAAGACCCCTACCTTTCACCTTACACAAAAATTCACTCAACATGAATTAAAGACTTAATTCTGAGACCTGACACCATCAAATTATTAGAGAGCATTGGAAAAACCCTGCAAGATATAGGTACCGGCAATGACTTCTTGGAAAACACCCCAGAAACACAGGCAGTCAAAGCCAAAATTAACATTTGGGATTGCATCAAATTGAGAAGTTTCTGTACTGCAAAAGAAACGGTCAGGAAAGTGAGGAGACAACCGACAGAACGGGAAAATATATTTGCAAACTATGCAACTGATAAAGGGTTCATAACCAGAATCTACAACGAAATCAAGAAACTCCTCAACATCAAAACAAACAACCCACTTAAGAGATGGGTCAAGGACCTCAATAGACATTTTTCAAAAGAGGAAATCCAAATGGCCAACAGACACATGAAAAAACTTCAAGATCACTAGCAACCAGGGAAATGCAAATCAAAACCACAATGAGGTTCCACCTCACCCGGGTGAGAATGGCTCACATTCAGAAATCTGCCAAAAATAGATGCTGGTGAGGATGTGGGGAAAAAGGGACACTAACCCACTGTTGATGGGAATGCAAATTGTTTAAGCCACTACGGAAGTCAGTCTGGAGATTCCTCAGAAACCTGAATATAACCCTACCATTCAACCCAGCCATCCCACTCCTTGGAATTTACCCAAAGGAAATTAAATTGACAAACAAACAAGCTGTCTGCACATTAATGTTTATTGCAGCTCAATTCACAATAGCTAAGACCTGGAACCAACCCAAATGCCCATCAACAGTAGACTGGATAAAGAAACTATGGGGCATCCTTTCACTTTCAGTCTGCGTGCATCTTTGCTTATAAGGTGTGTCTCCTGAAGGCAGCATATAGATGGATTCTCTTTCTTTATCCAATCAGCTAGTCTATGTCTCTTTGTCGTGGAATTAAGACCATTCACATTCAATGTGATTACTGTTAAGTACTGTCTTTTCCCCTTCATGTTTCCTGAAACGAGCTGTCTATGTATTTTGAACTTTGTTTGTGGGTTACTCTACATTCACTTTTTTTTTGTAGTGAAGTTCTTGTTTTTATATTTCTGTGTGCAGCACATCCTTGAGCAAGCGTTGTAGGGTTGGACACGTGGATACAAATTCTTTCAGTTTCTGTTTGTCGTGGAAGATCTTTATTTCCCCTTCATTCATAAATGATAGCTTTGCAGGGTATAGTATTCTAGGTTGGCATTGTTTGTCTTTTAAAACTTGAAATATATCATGCCATTGTCTGCTTGCCTGTAGTGTTTGAGATGAGAAGTCTGGGGTGAGTCTGATTGACTTACCCCTGAATGTGATTTGTCGCTTTTCTCTGGCACATTTTAGGATTTGTTCTTTGTGTGTCACTGAACTGAGTGTTGCCACAATGTTTCGTGGTGAATTTCTCTTCTGGTCTACTCTGTTGGGAGTCCTGGCTATCTGTTGTATTTGTGTGTTGTTATCCAACTGCCTTTGTTTGAAGTTTTCTGATATTCTTTCGTTGAAGACACCTTCCAATCCATTCTCTCTTTCCACCCCCTCAGGGACTCCTATTATCCGAACATTACACCGTTTGATTGAATCTTGTAGGTCTCCGACCGTATTTTTTAATTTTTTAATTTCTTCTTCCTGCATTTGAACTGACTGTATTATTTCTGGAAGTTTGTCTTTGAATTCTGATATTCAGTTTTCTATTTCATCTGTTCGATTTCCGAGGGATTCCACGGTGTTTTTTATATGGTCAATTGAGTTTTTCAGTTCTAGTATTTCATTCTGGCTTCTCTTTAGGATCTCTAATCCTTGGGCTTGTTTTTCATTCAGCTCTTGACACTGTTTCTCATTATTGTACTAACTGAAATAAATGAGCACGTGGGCCATCCTCCACTGCCTTCCTGGGCCACAGCAGAGAGTTGGACTGGAAAAGGAGCAACTGGGACTAGAACACGGTGCCAATATGGGATGCTGGCGCCGCAGGTGGAGGATTAACCAAGTGAGCCACGGCGCCTGCCCCCAACACCAACCAATTTTAAGCCTTTTTCTTATTCTCTAGTATCTTCCCATGTGGCCACTTCTGATAGCAGGCTTTCAGTTGCTGGCATTGCTTGTAAATTGCAAGCTCATATATTCATTGCCAGTGCATATGTGCACTTAGCTGTCCCAGTCAGCTGTGCACACTATCTGCTGCTTCTGCTTCCATTTCCTGATCTGCCTCTTCCCAAGATCTGCTGGGACCATTTCAATTGTTTTTTCTCTTTCTTATCATTTATAGTATTTAACTTGAGCAGATATTTTTAAGTATGATAAATTCCCTTTTCGGTTGCTTTTCTTACCAACATCAAAGACTCAAGAAAGCAGCAATTTCTATTTGTTCTCTTCAGTTCTGTATTGTGGAAGGGCAACATACAACCTAGTTAGGAGAAAGCATATTTATATTTCTATCTTTAATATGATAGTCCCGTGTAAATGAATTGTGCCATTGAGTCTTTAATCAGATTGCACAATAAATCTCATATTTTCTTTTATAGGATAGACAAACAGAGCAAGTTTGCTATAGGAAAAATTCAATGTACAAAGTGAAATGATGAATTGATTAATATAAAGAGTAATTTTATTACATTAACCACAGTACAAAAGTGAACATGATTATCATACAGATAAAAACTATTTAAACCTTAAATATAGTTAAATATATAAATATTCAAATATACAAATACATAAATATTTAAATAGATATATTGAATGTTCATCTGTAAAAAATAATGCCCCAAAAGTTAACGAGATGTTGTTTAATAGCCTTGGAAACATCTAACAAACTGATTGAATTAATATGGTTATTTTAGGAGAAAGGAGTCTTTTAATGGCAGAATTTGCTCAGGTGTGATATGTGTTTTTGTCAACAGGAATCATTTCCGTGTTGTCCCTGGTCTCATTCCTTGCTCCAAATTCTTTCTTGCCAGATTCTTGATAAAGAGACGGCTCTCCTGGCTTCTGCTCTGACAACCTCCCAGGCACAAGGGCTGTATTGCTTCTCTGCCAGATAGACAACAATTCCTTGGAAGTATTTCCTCACAGCCCATGCGGAGTCCTCATGCTTCAGAGGCATCTCCTCCGCCCCCGCTCCCTGCATCATGCAGACCTCCAGGTCACTCTGCTGCTCGAAGAGTCCAGTGCAGAGTCTGTCCAGGAGGGCCTTGTCCCAGGCAGCAGATGCCTCCTTGGTGCTGAACAGGTTGAGGAGCTGCTGGGTCATCTCGTGGAGCACAGAGATGGCCTGTGCCCTCTGGGCCTGGTGTCCACCCAACTCCTCCAGGGGGAACTCAAAGTCATGTCTGTCCTGCAAGCAGGAGAGAGGGGAGACTCTCCTCATTTGTCCCAGGAGCATGAAGGACCTCCCGTCACTGAGGCTGTGGGTCTGAGGCAGATCACAGCCCAGAGAGCAGAGGGACTTGGAGCTGAGCACCAGCAGGGCCAGCAGCGAAGAGAAGGGCAAGGCCATGGGGGATCTTGCAGATGCTGCTGGCCTGGCTGAGGTGGGTGATCAGAGCCTCGGCCTCTAGGTTCTCTGAAGACCTTGCTCTGCTCAAGTGCCTTAAGTAGAGGACGCGCTACTTTCCTTTTCTGAATGCCTTCTCTTCACTTTCTACTTCTCTTTTTGCTTTCCTTTGTGCACTCTACAGGATTCAAAAGCAGTTTTCCTCACCATTTTCCCATTAGTGCCTCATCTTTCCTGCTTTAATGCCTTTTTAGAATTTTTTGTAATAGAGCATCATTATAATTTTAAAAATATATACTGTGCATCTCTCTACATACACTATATATATATATGTTTATCTAAATGTAAAGCATTCAAATTTCAATCTTTTTGGTTGCTGCAGAGTTAATAATGGCAAAAAATCAATTCAAAGTTACCTTTAAAAGCTGTTGACATTTAACTTCTTTTGTACTAATTGGTGAAGCAACTTTTAATTCATTTTATTTATTTATATAAATTATCACGTACCAAATTATTTCACAAATCTGAAATTCCCAAATACTTAATAGCACTCATAAGAATAAGAATAGCTGTTGTGGAGGTGAAAAATTAAATTATGTGCTTCACATTGATATTTGGTGTACTGAACTTTTAATTTTTCTTCATGTGAGAAAATAATTTTTAACATCATTAGATGCTAGACATTCCTCCACCTTTTTTCTTTATTTTTTTGTTTCCCATACTTGACAAAATTGTTACTGTGCAGGAAAACTTCAGAGGAACTGAATAGTAGGATATAAGCTGTTTGCATTTTATTCTCAAATCCCACCTCACACTCTGAAGTACCGAAGCTTAAACTTCAGTAACATCCACAAAGCCGTCACTGACAAAATTAACCGAAGGTACTTCCTAAAAATGACTTGAGCTCAAGCAAATGATGGAAACAAAATGCACTAGCCAGCCATCTATTCATCATAGGTTTATGGAGATATTCTTGGGTACGTTTTGGCTATCTCCCATGAGCTCACTATCAATACTTTTCATATGATACATAAAGAAAGCAAATGAGGGACTGGTGTTGTGATGCAGTAGGGATAGCTGCTGCCTGTGACACTAGCATCTCATAGGGGAGCATGTTTGTGTCCCAGCTGCTCCACTTCCCATCCTATTCCCTGTTAACAGCCTGGGAAAGTCAACGGAGGATGACCCTAGTGTTTGGGCCCCTGACATCCCCATAGGAGACCTGGATGAAGCTGCTGGTTCTTGACTTTGGCTTGACTCAACTCCGGCCATTTGGGGTGTCAACCAGCAGATGGAATATCTCTCTGTCTCTTCCTCTTTGTGTAACTCTTTCAAATATTAATTTATTAGCCGGCGACACGGCTCAATAGGCTAATCCTACACCTAGCGGCGCCGGCACACCGTGTTCTAGTCCCGGTCGGGGCTCCGGATTCTGTCCCGGTTGCCCCTCTTCCAGGTCAGCTCTCTGCTGTGGCCCGGGAAGGCTGTAGAGGATGGCCTAAGTGCTTGGGCACTGCACCCCATGGGAGAGCAGGAGAAGCACCTGGCTCCTGCCATCGGATCAGCACGGTGCGCCTTCGCAGCGCGCCAGCCGTGGCGGCCATTGGAGGGTGAACTAATGGCAAAAGGAAGACCTTTCTCTCTGTCTCTCTCTCTCACTATCCACTCTGCCTGTCAAAAAAAAAAAAAAAAAACAAACACCACAAATACTTATTTATTTATTATATTTGACTTTCAAATAAACAAATAAATCTTATAAAAAGAAAGCCAATGAGAAAAATGAATACTAAGAAAAAGTTTTGTTGGATATGGTTGAGCTTTGGAGGGTCACAAACCATCACATCTAAGATTTCTCCACAGCCTAAGAATTTGTTTTTAAACACTAAGGGCCATATCGTGCCTAATGAGACTATGTGATTCAGAAAATAATCTTTATATAGTTGCATTAAAGCTCAAATATTCCAAAGAACTCCAACAGGTCCCAAATGAAGTTGATTCCTATGCAATGAAGGCATCCCATCTTTGCCACAGATTCATAACTGGAGGAATGTTGCATATGTGAAGCATTAACTTTTAGCCCTGATCTTAGTATCTGTGGTTAATTTTATTTTTAATTTCTTTGTCATTTTTAAAAGAAATCTTGTTTATTCAAAAGGAAGAAACGAACAGACTGTTAGGGAGGAAGTGAGGGGGGCAAAGAGATAAAGACCTCCCAATTTGTGTTTCAGTTCCCAAATGTCCACAACAGCCACATCTAGGCCAGCATGCAGCCGGTAGATGGGAAGTACATCTAGGTCTCGTTCATGGATGGCAGGGATCCAAGCACTTGAGTTTGCTTCTCAAGTTTGCCTGTTGATTCTCAGGGTGTACATTAGCAAGAAGCTGAAATTAGGAAGAGGACTAAAATTCAACCAAAGTGCCCTGATATGGGGTGTAGACACCTCAGGCAAGCCCTTACCTCCTGTGCCAAACACCCACTGCTGTCCTTACTTTTTTTATTTTGCATAGGAACTTGGGTTGTCCCTGTCCTCAGGATTCCTACTCCTTAAACAATGGAATCATATTTGGGAAAACACTCTCTTATTGACTGGACTCTGTCTTATTCTCTTTGTTGTCATCAGTACCAAGCTACATATAATCACTCAAGAAATAATTTTTACTGAAGTTTTTTTTTTTTCAGATTTTCTTTTGCTACTGGAAGCCATTCATAAATGATCCAGCTATGTTGCTTCATCATGGCCATTGTTGCTAGAACTGTAATAGACAATTTTTAGCATTTCCACTTTACTCACTGTCACTAATCTCTAGAGTTTATTGTTAAAACAAATGAAATTCTAGTTCCTTTAAGATACACGTGGTTCTGGGGATTCTAATTTCAAGAGCAACACAATATGTTGCCTCTGTCTAGTACTATATTAAACTCACAAGTATGACTCATATCTTACTTGCTCTCTACTTTGCCATAACAGAACATAATCGGCCTGGTGTCATATGTAGAATAAAATCTAAATGAAATTTCTCCCTGAGTCACACAGTTCACAGGCATCAGAAAACATAATACACTATTGTTTTTAGGGTAATAGTTCTGTATCTCCTGAATTATCAATACTGCCCTTTGCAAGTATGAGCCAAGCTGTTAGGATATATGTTTGAACTATAAAGGATTATGACATCGATTTTCTGTCGCATAGAAGCCGAGATTTCACATCATTTGATGATCTTCAGATGACATGAGTGTAAAATCAGTTTGTCAGTATAAGTGTAGGTATAGAAAAAAATGTTTTTAAGGAACTAAATAAATTTTATTATTAATTATTTTTATAATTCAATTGAATTCTTATGCATCAAAAAATGCTGAAAGTTCTAAAACGAGCATAAGAGTACTACTAATATATGATCCTTTACCTGAAATGAATGTTGCAAAAATTTAGTATGTTACTAAATTTAGTATGTTACATCCTCCACTGCCTTCCCGGGCCATAGCAGAGAGCAGGCCTGGAAGAGGGGCAACCGGGACAGAACCCAGCGCCCCGACCGGGACTAGAACACAGTGTGCCGGCGCCACAGGCAGAGGATTAGCCTATTGAGCCACAGCACCGGCCCCAGCTACTCTGTTTCTAGTCCAGCTCCCAGCTAATGTTTCTGGGAATCAGGTGATGACACTCATGTACGTGAGTTCTTACCACCCATATGGGAGACATGGATGCAGTTCCTGGAATTTCTTCAGAGCCGATACCAACAAAAGTCTCCCTAGATGCATAAAAATAAATGTAGTAGTAAACATGAATAAGGAAGACAATATGACTCCCCAAAAGGAACACAATAGCATTTTTTTTTTTTGACAGGCAGAGTGGATAGTGAGAGAGAGAGGCAGAGAGAAAGGTCTTCCTTTTGCCGTTGGTTCACCCTCCAATGGCCGCCACGGCTGTCACACTGCGGCCGGCGCACCGCGCTGATCCGAAGGCAGGAGCCAGGTTCTTCTCCTGGTCTCCCATGGGGTGCAGGGCCCAAGCACTTGGGCCATTCCCCACTGCCTTCCCGGGCCACAGCAGAGAGCTGGCCTGGAAGAGGGGCAGCCGGGAAAGAATCCGGCGCCCCAACTGGGACTAGAACCCCGTTTGCTGGCACCGCTAGGTGGAGGATTAGCCTAGTGAGCCTAGGCGCCCACCAATACATTTCAATATTAGACGGTGAAGATGAAGAGATTGAAGAAACATCTGAAAAGGAATTCAGAAGAATGACTATAAGGTTACTTAAAGACAGAGAAGTAATTAAAAGAGTTAAATAAGAGGAGGGCCCAAGTGCTTGGGCCTTGTACCCGCATGGGGGACCAAGAGAAGCACCTGGCTCCCGGCTTTGATCAGTGCGGTGCGCTGGCCGAAGCAGCCATTGTGGGGTGAACCAAGGGAAAAAGGAAGACCTCTCTCTCTGTCTCTCTCTCTCACTAACTCTTGCTGACAAAAAAAAAAAAAAAAAAAAAAAAAGTCCTAAAATGATCATGTCAGAAACACCAGATTAATTCTAGGGAATTCCAACTAGATTGACTGTATACTTCCCCTCAGAATTCAAAAAAAATTCTGTGCACTCAGAATACTATATCCAGTAGAGCTCTTATTTATAAAAAGGGTGAAATAAAATGCTTCCAAAACAAACAGAAATTGAAAGAATTTGTCAACACTTGGCCAGCTCTACAAATGACACTGAAGAATGAGCTACACAGAAATTTATAGAAAATAATCAGTAAAATGAATCAATGTAAAGGCAGAAAAATTCCTAGTAAAAGTGCAAAGCAGATCCAAACCAAAGAGTAGAAACATTTATGAGAAAATGGCAGGACCAAGCTGTTAAATATCAATAATAACCTTGAATGTAAATGAACTAAAGGACCCTCCAGTTAAAAGATACAGACTGGTTGAATGGATTAAAAAAAAGCAAACAAGACCTATCTATATGCTGCCTCCAAGAAACATACCTCACCAAAAAACATACACACGGACTGAAATTGAAATGTTGGAAAAAATACTCCATGCAAACTGAAATAGAAGATGAGCGAGAGTAGCCATACTAATATTGGACAAAATAGACTTAAAGACAAAAACTGGTAAAAGAGACAAAGAAGGGAACTAGCAATGATTCTGCCTTTGGCAGAAGCAGCCACTTTCCTGCCTTTGTGCCCATTAGCAATGGCCACCAATCGTTCCCACTTTGCAGTTCTGAATTTTGCTAGTTTACACTTTGTCCTTGAGTCACCATAGGTCACTTCCTTTATTTCACTTCCATGACAATCAGAGTTGCATTTTTTTTTCTTTTCACCTATGAACAACTGCCAAGTTTTGCTTTCTAGGAAGTTGAAAAGTGAAACGAACCAACAAATATCTGAGTTGTAAAAAGAATGCAAAAAAGAGAAAAAAATGCAGCAACTGCTGCAGCCTCCTGTATTGACTCAAGACACGGTAGAATGTGATGCAGCAGCAAGGCCAGCCTTGCCCAGTAAAGCACCATGTGAAAAAGAAGTCACAAAATCTTATAGTGAAAAAGATACAAACCAATAAAGGAAAGCATTTGATTTCTCTTTGACTTACTTAAGTTTGACTCACTGCCCTGAATTCTGAGGCTGAAACACAGATAGGAGCCCAAAGGGGCCCAATAGACTCACACTACCTGGAGGAAAAACTGAAGGCCCCTGGTTTTCGGGATATGAACTTCTTATGAGAGGCAACATCAAGACCAACAAGAAGGAGCCAGCGCTGTGGCGCAGTGGATTAAAGCCCTGGCCTGAAGTGCTGGCATCCCATATGGGCACCGGTTCTGGTTCCGGCTGCTCCTCTTCCGATCCAGCTCTCTGCTATGGCCTGGGAAAGCAGTAGAAGATGGCCCAAGTACTTGGGCCCCTGCACCTGCGTGGGAGACCTGGAAGAAGCTCTTGGCTCCTGGCTTTGGATCAGCACAGCCCCGGCCATTGCGACCATCTGGGGAGTGAACCAGCAGATGGAAGACCTCTCTTTCTGTCTCTACTTCTCTCTGTACCTCTGTATTTCAAATAAATAAAATAAAATCTTCTTTAAAAAAAAACAACAAGAATATCAAGGGGCAATAGTTAAGAAGCTTTGAGGGTAACAGGTGCTCAGTGGTTTGAGTAAAAGCACTGAATAACAAAAGCCGCACAGGGAAAATAAAAATTATTAGACACTGCGGGTAAAATCAGCATAGTTGGAAAAGCCTTCCAACTACTCAGGCAATACAAACATTAGCTATTAGCATCTGAGGGCTGCGACATGTGGTCAGGAGAGGAAGGGTTCACCACTGGGAGCCATGGTCCTTCACACAAACTGCAAGGGGCAAGAGCGAGAATTGGAGGATTTATTATTTTGGCAACAAAGAAAGAAGGCCTTCCTTCAGCAGAGGTGTGGCACTGACACTTTGTCATTTTAGATGAAACCGTGTTGGTTGATGTCATAACAACCTCATGAGAGAGGTGATGCTGGGGAAATAACAATGCCTCAGATTTATGAACTCCGTTACCTTATGCACCTAAAACACACAACACACACACACACACACACACACACACATGCACAAAGAATTCCTCCTAGGTATATTGTCCCAGCCTGAGGGGCACCGCAGATCTGCAGTAAAAAAAATATATATATATGCTGGAAAAGGGTCGTGTCTACATTCATCCGGACCATGGGGTCCCACTGAAATTTAAGCACATGGAGGTTCTCGAAGGAAAAGAAACAATGGAGAAACTTAGCCACTAATAATCACCAGCATCTTCTGTGTAGTAAACAGCACAACCACAGTCTTTGTTCTAAAAGGTTAATTTACCAAAGATAGCTGGGAAATCACTAACCAAATACAGAAACCTATAGGACCAAGGTACCCAGACTTCTGGGCAGAGTATGGAGGGCAAAAATGGAACCTTGAAAAAATGGCTAGACATTTGTTCTTAGAAAACAAAGGGGCAACATGTGAGAAGAGTGTGTGTTTGTGTGCACAATTATCCATCCACCCATCTGTCTTTCTATCTATGCATGTTTGACTTTAGGACAAAGATGTTTCTCATTTAATTCATATTTGTCTATTGGAGTCGAACGTCAGAAGTTTCTGGGGAAAACTCAACTTTTGTTTCAAAATCAGTAGTTTCGATTAAGAATACCGAATGAAAGCAAAAAAGGGAAGTAAAAGCAGAAAGTCCATTCTGTATGATATAAATGCCATGCACAGCCAGAATGCCTTCAGAGAACCTAGAGTCCAAGGTTCACCCAGACCCCAGCCCAGCCAGGACAGCAGCAGCCTCATTTCCCCATGGCCCAGCTACTCCCTCTGCTGACGGCCCTGGTGCTGTGCAGCTATGGCCCTGTTGGATCTCTGGGCTGTGACCTGCCTCACAACTCTGTCCCGCTGAGCAGGACGACCTTGGTGCTTCTGGACCAGATGAGGAGGGTCTCCCCTGTCTTGTGTCTCAAGGACAGAAGAGACTTCCAGTTCCCGCGGGAGGTGGTGAACGGCAGCCAGTTCCAGAAGAACCAGACCGTGTCTGTCCTGCACGAGATGCTGCAGCAGATCTTCAACCTCCTCCACACAGCGCGCTCCTCTGCTGCCTGGAACAACACCCTCCTGGAGGAACTGCACACTGCACTTCATCAGCAGCTGCAAGGCCTGGAGACCTGCTTGGTACAGGCCATGGGAGAGGAAGACTCTGTCCTGACAGCTGACAGCCCAACGCTGATGCTGAAGAGGTACTTCCAGAGAATCCGTCTCTACCTGGACGAGAAGAAACACAGTGGCTGTGCCTGGGAACTCGTCAGAATGGAGATCAGGAGAGCCTTCTCCTCAACAGCAGACTTGCAGGAAAGCTTAAGAAGCAAGGATGGAGACCTGGCGTCATCCTGAGATGGTTCTCGTTGACTGATCGCCCCATTACACTTGTACATGTGTATTTGGTCATTTCTTTTTTTTCTTTTTTTTTTTCTTTTTCTTTTTCTTTTTTTTTTTTTTTTTTTTGACAGGCAGAGTGGACAGTGAGAGAGAGAGACAGAGAGAAAGGTCTTGCTGTGCCGTTGGTTCACTCTCCAATGGCCGCATTGGCTGGCGCGCTGTGGCCGGTGCACCGCGCTGATCCGTTGTCAGGAGCCAGGTACTTACCCTGGTTTCCCATGGGGTGCAGGACCCACGTACTTGGGCCATCCTCCACTGCACTCCCTGGCCACAGCAGAGAGCTGGCCTGGAAGAGGGGCAACCGGGATAGAATCCGGCGCCCCGACCGGGACTAGAACCCGGTGTGCTGGCGCCGCAAGGCAGAGGATTAGCCTAGTGAGCCACGGCGCCGGCCTATTTGGTCATTTCTAAAGGCTCTTCTTTCTGCTTTAGTCACATCAGGGAACTTGCTGAATTAATTCAGCAACTACTTTGTTCATATATTAAGGAAGTATATGTGAAACGCATTCAGCTCCGGGGTATTGATTCCTAGGGGATGACAGCTCTGATATTATTTATTTACTGAATGTATTTATTTATTTATTTATTTACTTATTTATTTATTATTGTATCCTATTTTTATAAGACATACTTTTCACATAGCAGATGTTCATTTTTACATTGTATTAAGATTGGAAATCAGGCTCACATTTTCATTTCAAGAAATATTGTATTTATTATTTATTAATTTTTTTAAAGTTATGTACATTTATCATAATAAAGTCTACTTCTTTACTATTTTGTGCTGTTTAAATGCCTTATTTTTACCTATAGACCTTTTATTAAGATGTGCATTAAATAAAAGTTCTTTGATTTGTTTTTTCTATCCTATATTCAGACACTGGCTTTCTGAACCAAGTTGAAGAATGGACAGTAATACTATTTACTTTATTATTCCATTCACATCACATGTGTAGAGAGAAAATAACAGTGTCAGATTTTGGAATTGCTGTAAAGAAAGCACAGTCTTTGCTGCCTTGAAACATCATCATATATATGGGAAAGAAACATAAACACTGTACTAATTTCCCTTAACTGAAACAGTATAAAAAGGAGTAAAGCACAGAGATGTTTTCATACTGGAAGCTTTGGTACAGCTGATACTACAAAGGACAAAAGGGGGTAGATCTCTTTTTTAAAGGTACCTGGGAGAATTAAGTACAGAAGTTATGTTGGCTGTTGGGTACATGGTCCTAGAATGAACAACAAATGCCATGGGTGAAGGGAATAATTTGAGATTCCTTATTGCACGTCTAATATCAGGGACATTGGGATGGATTTTGTGAGTTACAAATGGAGAAGACCCTCAATATATAAAGGGAGAACAGGGAAGCAAAATGTGCAAAGGTTACTGAAATGAGTGGCCAGTGAAGAAAGAAGGGCAAATAGGTAAGAACAGTGTTCAAAAGACAGAATTGCGTTCAGGGGAAGTCAGAGTGAATTGTCCCCATAAACCTAAAAACATCTGTCTGTAGTGGCTTTAACAGATCTGGTTTAATGGAGTTACGGTACAGGAAACATATGAGGATAGATTGAAGAGGAAACACAAGCAGGAGAACTAGAACAGTGAGCACATAAAATTATTCTGGGAAGCTTGTTAGTTGAGTGGTAGAATTAAATAACTTGGGACCTAGCGGAGAATGTGGATTAATGTTCCTTATTTCACTGAATACTTCCTGAGAATTATTTCTAGAATGGATGTTTTGGCACAAGATTTAGAAACAGTTTAAATATTTGATGTAAGCAAATGATTTGTTAAAAATTTTCCTTGTTTGGATTAATATTACTTTGTAGTAAGCACAATGGTAATTCATTTGGTCACTAACGTCAATTAATTTCTCAAACAATTTTTGCAAAATTTCATTATAATATGTTAATTAATTTTCTCTAGTTTATGTTGGTCATTTACCTTGTGATTTTTAAATTTCTAGCCTTTGACATGTACATTTTCTGAAAACTGTAGGCATATACTCCTGATGGATACTTGTTTTCAACCTCACTTGTATAGAAATGACTGGGTGGTTTCTTTTTATAATATAAATTGTCTAGAGCAGAACTATGCCTCTCAGTAATCATATTTCTCTTTTTATTTGACATATCTTTGACTCTTGTGTGAATCTGTTTTTACATTCAAGTCTGTATTCCATAAGAATCATGGAATCTATGAGATGATCTAAATACCTTTATGTTAGGAAATCTTCCTAGAATCTTTTATTAAATTTTGTTTTCTTTTCTTTTCATCACTATTCTTTACCATAAATCAAATTACTGCTGATTATCATCAAAGTAGTTTTCTTTGTTAATATGATAGTACAGTTTCCTTGTTGCTAAACTTTTTTCCTTACTGTTTTTTTTTTATAAAAGATTTACTTGAAAGTCAGTGTCACACAGAGCGAGAAGGGGAGGGGGAGAGAGAGAGGGAGAGAGAGAGGTCTTCCATCTACTTGTCTACTCCCCAAATGGTTTCAATGGCAGGAGCTGAGCAGATCCAAAGACAGGAGCTTGTTCTGGGTCTCCTATGTGGGTGCAGGGGCCCAAGGACATGGGCCATCTTCTGCTGCTTTCCCAGGCATATTAGAAGGGATTTAAATCAGAATTGGAGTAGCCAAACTCGAACCTAGGCCCACATGGGATTCCAGTGCCACAAATTTATGGTTTTATTCACTATGCCACAGCACCAGCCCCTTCTTTTTGTATTTTAACCCAGTATTCTTTTCATCCTCTATGAAGACTGATTTTGCATGCATTCTCTCTAATCAGCTCTATGTGGTACAAAGGAATACTTTCATTCCCTGAACCAGTCTCTTGTGATTAATGAGGTTTTTTTTCCCCTAGAAATCTTTTATTGAAGGTATACAAACTTCATGCATTTCATAAGTACAACTTTAGGAACATAGTGAGTCTTCCCATCGTATCCACCCTCCCACCCCTCTTCCTCCTCCCTCTCCTACTCCCATTCTTATTTTTTACTAAGATATGTTTTCCATTAACTTTATACACATATGATTAACTCTATACTAAGTAAGCAGTTCAACACATAGCATGAAAATAATTGTTCAACAGTCGAGACAAGGGCTGTCCAAAGGCATCACATCTCAACGTGTCAATTTCACTCCTATAGATTACATTGTAGGTGCTCTATTAGTTACTACAAATCAGGGAGAACAAATGGAATTTGTCCTTTTGGTACTGGCTTATTTCACTAAGCAGAATGTTTTCCAGTTTTATGCATTTTGTTGCAAAAGGCAAAATTTCATTTTTTTAGCACATATAATATTCTGTGATGTACATAGCCCATAATTTCTTTATCCAGTCTTCAGCTGATTGATATTTGGGTGGAGTCTATATCTTAGCTATTGTGAATTGAGCTGCAATAAACATGGGGAACAGATAACTCTTTCTTATTCTGATTTCATTTCCCTTGGGTAAATTCCCAGGAATAGGATCTGGTTCATATGGTAGGTCTATATTCAGATTTTTGAGGTATCTTTATATTGTCTTCCACAGTGGCTTTACTAATTTACGTTCCCACCAAAAGTGGATTAGGGTATCTTTTTCCCCACATCCTCACAAGCATTTGCTGTTTGTTGATTTCTGTATGAAAGCCATTCTAGCTGGGGTAAGGTGAAACCTCATTGTGGTTTTGATTTGCATTTCCCTAACGGCTAGTGATCCTGAACATTTTTTCATGTGTCTGTTGGCCATTTGGATTTCCTCTTTTGAAAGATGCCTATTTAAGTCTTATGCCCATTTCATAACTGGATTGTTTGTTTTGTTGTTGAGTTGCTTGAGCTCTTTACATATTCTGGTTATTAATCCTTTAGCAGTTGCATAGTTTGCAAATAATTTTCCCCATTTTCTCAGTTGCCTCTTCACTTTTCTGAAGTGTTTATTCTGCAATGCAGAAGTTTGTGAATTTGATGTCACATTTGTCATTTTGGCCTTGATTTCCTGTACCTCTGGGGTCTTTTACAAGAGCTCTTTGCCTATGCCAGTGTCTTGAAGGGTTCCCCCAATGTTCTCTAACGATTTGATGGTATTGGGTGATAGATCTAGGTCCTTAATCCATTTTGAGTGGATTTTTGTGTAATGTGTAAGGTAGAAGTCTTTCTTTTGGTAGGTTTTTTGTGTTCAGGAGTCTATCCATTTCTTCTATGTTTCCCATTTTGTTGGTATACAGCTCTTTGTAGTAATTTCTGATGATTCTTTTTATTTCTGTAGTATCTCTTGTTACATTTCCTTTTTCATCTCTCATTTTATTGATTTAGATGGTCCCCCTCTGATATGTTTTGGTACTTGGGCCAGTGGTGTGTCAATTTTGTTTATTTTTTCAAAAAACCAGCTCTTCATTTCACTGATCTTCTGAATTGTTTTTTAATTGTTTATTTGTTTTCTAATTTTAATTATTTATTTTCTCTTGCTAATTTTGTGTTTGATTTGCTGTTGTATTTTAGGTCTTTGATATGCATTGATAACTCATTTATTTGGTACCTTTCCAGTTTCTTTATATAGGCACTAATTACTACAAACTTTCCTCCTAACACTGCTTTTATTGTATCCCATAGGTTTGATATGTTATATTGTCATCTTTTTCATTTCCTGAAGTTTTTTATTTTTATTTTTTATATTTTTTATTTCTCTATTTTTCATATGACCTACTGTTCATTCAGGAGCATGTTGTTCAGTATCCATGTGTCTGTAAATGTTCTAAAGATTTTTGTGTTGTTGAGTTCTGGCTTCATTTCATTGTTGTCAAAGAAGAGGCATGGTATGATTTTGATTTTTTTCAATTTGCTGAGACTGGCTTTATGGCCTATTATGTGATTCATCCTAGGGGAAGTTCCATGCACTGGTGAGAATTTGTATTCTGCAACTGTAGGATGAAAAGTTCTGTAGATATCCATTACATCCATTTAGTCTATAGTGTTGGTTAACTCTGTTGTTTCTTTGCTGATTTTCTGTCTGGTTAATCTGTCCTTTGCTGTTGCTGAGAGTGGGGTATTGAAGTTCCCAATTACTGTTATATTAGAGTTTATGTCTCACTTTAGATACATTAACATTTATTTTAAATAGCCACATGCCCTGTAATAGATGCATATGCATTATTAGAGACATATCTTTCTGTTGAATTGATTCCTTCATGAATGCATAGTGAATTTTTCTCTTTTAACAGTTTTTGTTTTAAAGCCTATTTTGTCTGATATTAGGATGGCTACATCATCCATTTTGGTTTCTGTAAATATGAAACATCTTTTTTCATCTCTTCACTTTCAGTCTGTGGGTATCTTTATTGGTGATATGTTTCTTGCACGAAGCAAACAAATG